CTATGCAGGGTTGCTAAAAACAATTTGTCATAAAAGTGCAGTCTATGTTAGGTAATGTTAATTACTAATAAGATTTCATGGACGTCTTTAATAATAATACCCAATGTTTATTGGAGAGATATTATCCTTCTCATTACTTTTATCGATTAGTACAATCGATAGGATCAATGAATCGATGAAATAAAAAAAACTTAGAGTTTGTTGGCAATCACAACCCACGGATAAAAGCCTAATTTTGAAATAAGAAAAAGAAATATTCACTAATTTGAACTAATTTTTACAAAATTAACATAGATCAAATATATAAATCATAAATTGCTCTTAACCAAAACTGTGAAAAAGGACAATAGGTTTGTTGCTCGTCAGATACCTATGACAAATACCCAAAGTTTTTTATTTTAACCTACAATGTAAATAAAGTATTTTCGAGGTCGTCGACGATCACTTTTTGTCAGCGTGTCGACAAAATGAATATCATAAACTGAGATAAAAAAGCGCAAGTTTTTATTGATTCATTGATTGTTTTTGTACAGTAACTCTAATGGTCTACACTTAAGAGAAAAATCGAGAAATCCACCAATTTTTGGACTTAACTATTTCATCAAATAAATCAATTACATATTTCAATTTCAATTTTATTAGAGCAGTGAGATAGCCTAGTAGGAATTTATTTATTTATTTATTTATTTATTTATTCATTTAACATTCCAACATGACAGGTTACAACCCAAGTCGCTATAAACACAAAAGCAACAAAAATAATAAACTAATACATATAAAATTGAACTAACAATACTTATTTTTTTTATAATATCAAGTGACGGGACGAACAAGTCGTGCGCCTGATGGTAAGCTACACGCCTGTCCATAACAGTTGTAGTGCCATTCAGAACTTTAAATCCCTAAGATCTGAGGGGCACTGCCACCGGAGTACAGCAATGCTGACATCATTGGCAGCAGAAATAGGCAAGACAAATTTAATACTTTCTCATGAGTTAATGTAAACTCATCTGACATCTATTCGCGCTACCAAACAAACGAGAGTGTGATGACATGCCGCCTTAAGAACGGAATTGAGGAGTGTGGAGTCGCGCGTGGCTATATTCATTCGGCACAAACAGCCGCAGCAAATGCTGCAATTAATAAAAACGTAAACGGGAACGTCGGCATAAACCGACAGATCGATTCTCTATGGCATATACGTAGACTTCAATTTCTAAGTTACGTACATTTGTTCATGCTTAACAGCAATACCTCTCGCTGAGACAGTGGTGAAGGAAAACATCACAATGTAAGCTGCACATCCAAGAATGTTTGAAAATGTGTGAAATCTCCATTAAGCCTATCTATAAAGGACACTCGTTCCCAGCAGTTATGATGATATTAAATTGAACATGTTGTCAACAAACTCGACCCTCAACTTAGAAAACCAGCTGATTATCATATCAATAAAGACGAGTATAAAATTTACACTTTACAATGTAAAAACGCGCTAACTGCACTTTTGCTACTTTGAATGATCTAATGGAAAGTAGGTAATGCTAATTGATTAAATAAACAAAGCCGCCGTTTCCGTAAATTCAACAATAACAATCCTTATGTATGAATTCATAAAACAGTTAATTACAGTAATGAAACTCTAAATTTTTATTGAATTGATATTCAATTATTTTTTGTGGAATTAAAACTACTAAAACCTCTCTCCTGAAAAGTAGCCTCTTTGCAGATGTAACTCATAACACTAGAGTGCGAATTATAATTCACAGCTTTTGTAACTATTTTATTTTTTCTATTACATGTTTTTGGAGCGATTTTGTAATATAATTCGTAACACATCTGAGGAACAGAGTCGGATGGGATTATCTGATTACACAGCGAAAAGAGGAAAAATACATAATCTCGTTATTCAAATTTCAGATTTTTTATATATTATTTCGTTTCAGAATTATAAAACCGAACAACCGTCGATTTTATATCCACCGCGAGAACACCGAACGAAATGTACAATGTCTTGAGAATAGATCTTGCTATCTTTGTTCTACGGATGAGCGACATATTGTTTTAACTCATGCCATGGTAGTCTTCCTTTTGCTTTCCTTCCTTCAATATTTATATTATGAAGTAACTCTGTGAGTGTATTCGTTATTGTATACTTACTGAGTGCTTGCTTAAATCCTGACTGGAAACCAACACCCTAGGGAAATTCTGCTTATGCGGAGTCAACGCCATTTCACTGCCATGACACTAATTTTGTTCTTATGTTTGTATTCTAACCTCTCCTCATCATCAATCTATTTATACGTTCCACTGTTGGGCACGGGTCTCCTCTCAGGCAAGGGGGTTTGGGATTTTACACGTTTTCCTAGAGTTGTGAACCTCCTTCGACGTGCAGATTTCATCACGATGTTTTCCACCGAAAAGCTCATGAAAAATTTAAAATTAAATATCGCACATAAATTCCGAGAAACTCAAAGGATGGAACCCGGATTGGAACCCGCGACCTCTCCTCGAGAGGCGGTAGATGAAACCATTAAGCTACCAGCTACCACAACTTTATTTGTAAGCTCTATCTTTATCATATTGGTGACTAAAGTGTTTATTTATCATTTTATATGATTTTACTCACCGTTATCATCTGATTCACATTCACACTATCCAATACAGTGGTACAGCGAACGTATTCATATATACATGTAATTTAGTTAGTTACATTTCTGTGGCCTGTAGCTTCCAGCACAAATGCAAAAAGCAGTCCAGCTCGTTACTATACGTATTGTTCGCCAATTCTTGAACCTAAGTCCCTAACTCCGGCCGACTGTGCCATTGCCGGGGAATGTTGCCCCTCCCACTTAAAAAAAAATCATAATTAATCTTTTAGGCTATGGGAGAGGCGAGAGTCTAAACATAATAATAATAAATACTCGAGATGATCGGCAGCTTTCCTTTCTTTTCTTCAAACGGCCTTAATTTTATACATTCATAACTGGACAGCCTCACTAACTATGTGTTCAGAATTTAATTTTAACATAATGGATTTAATTAATGGACAGTTATATATTATTGTGTCGAGATATAAATTGGATTAATGTATATACATTTAATTTATCTGCATTGAATGAGACAAATTGATTTCCAACGTTATATCTAGTACTTGTGGACGTCAATTAATCCACGTCTTACATTTACTTTATATCATTAATTTTGAGTTCAAGGTGCGTAATGTTTTCACATGTAAGCGCCTTCGTTAGCCAAATTTGAACTCTATGTAAATGGTGTAAGGTAACCTTTTCAACAACGAATTTTGACGCATTACACATGGCATTAAGTAAGAGTACTAATAATATGTATTTATATAGAATAATTTCATCGCAAATCGCTCGTTTAAGAACTCAATTTTTATTTTCAAATCAAAACTAACCTTACCGTATTGTATTAAAGGTCCATTTGCTGGACAGGGCTTACGGTTCTTTAATGATAAAGGCCTCATGGTTGTAGCCTTCATAATGCTTCGGAGGGTTCTAAAACTTCTATATATGCAAACTTACCTAGTCCATCAAATGAATAATTAACGTACGAGCTTCGATTTTATACATTTCTCAAAAATTTTCGTTACTTTGGCATAATATTTCAGTGACAGAATAATATCACGGGCCTATCCCTATATGTGAAAGTTACCTGATGTTTGTGTGACACCACGAGTAATTACAGCAGCGGCGTAATTAATTACGAAAAGGTTTCATACTAATAACTTAAGTCCCTATATTTTATAGTGTTACATATACCTTGTTAAGGGATTTTTCAAAATCACACCTTGCACTCAATGTGTGAAGTATATTTATACTGTACCAAGACTGGGTGTACATACACTGAAAAAAACAATATGATTGAAATAAACAAGAAGTTACTGGTGATATTAAAGGCACAGGGACTTGTCAACTTATGTCTCAAGGTGCCGGGCGCAGTAGCAGTGATCTTCAGATCACTCGGATCTTTGCGATTGAAAGCTGGCACTGCAACTGTTATGGACAGGCGTGTCGCGCCACCAGGCGCACGACTTGTTCGTCCCGTTCCGTATTATAGAAAAAGTTGTTTAAGTTGATCATATAACTTGTTTCCTTGTAACAAGTTCGTAGCCTATAAAACACAATGATTGCAGCAATCATTTTAAATATTGAACTTAATAATGTTGTGATTGATTCAGTCAAGTAGGTATCTTGATAGGCTAATGTGTTTCAATTTATTTATTGACATTTGTTGTAAAAAAATAACACTAGTTTTGTTATGATTATGGGTAACCTATCACAAACTCGAATAATTTTTTTCCGAAATAACGTTCATTCGAATTGTCATTACACGAATTACAACGAAATCGTTGTTCTTTTTAGAATATGTTGGATGTTTATCGCAAATACACGATTAGGTTCGAGTAGGTTAGGTTAAGTTAGGTTTAAAAGAAAAAAAAAATACTCTCAAAATTACTTTCGAGGTTATGAAATTCGAACAAACGTTATTTCTGAAAAATGTCATCTCGGACTTCTGATAGGGAACCATGATTATGAATATAAAGATCGAACATAACCCGTGGCTCAGATGGTTAGAGCAATGCTACGGTGCAGCATGGACGCGGGTTCGTGTCCCACAGAGTCGACGAAATTTTTTCTGTGTGTTCCATCTTTGTATCTATAACCATAGCGTGATAATTTGGTTAAAGTTAATGTTTTTCATTGTAACACAAAATTTATCATGAAGTATTATTAATCTGCGTATTGGCACAAATATCATTAATATTGTTTGTCAAACTTATAAAATATTTTTCTTAAATGAACCATAAAGATGAGATAGAACACAAGTTGACCTAAGTATGTACCTAGTTGTAGTATGTAATTATGTATCTATTTTTTATAATCAGACTTTTACCTATATCAAATGGAATATGTAATAGATGTAACGACTTTGAAAGTACATACCAAACTAAACATTTAATTTTAACAAATTTCCAGGCAAGAAGCAGCGTTATCCCGGTGCCAGAACGCCCCAGTGCCGGGAGGTCCCCCGCCAACCCGGGAGCCCTCTCTGCTCCTCTGTTGCTTTCGGGACTTGTGCAACCACGAAGATAGCCCTCATGCGCCTGGCTTCAATATTACTAATGAATTAGGTAAGAGCAAATAATTCTTAATAAATCTTTTCATCTGGGATAGCTTCGTACTCAATACGTTTTTGCGCGAGCATATACATTATGGTACGTTTTATAGTTTTTATTCAATTCAAAATCATCAAACAAGGGAGTGGCCAAGTCAACAATGTTTTTGAATTAAAAAATAACTAACAATTCATATCTAATGTCAAAAATAACTTACCATTGTCAAAACTACCTTACTGGTATTTACCAAAATAGCCTAATACAATTTAAATTTATTCATGATAATTTATAATTCATTTATTTATGAAAACACAGGTTGTACAGAAGTTGACATGTAACAAAATAAATATAATTTCACTGTGTCCAGCCAAACATTAATTAAACTAATTGAGGTAAATCCATGGGAAAACACTACAACACACATGTTCACCGGAGCGACCAAAAAGACCATAACTAAGTCGATGACAGGTGGCACACCGATCCTGTTTACATAACTAGTAATTTACCAACTAGTAACTGGACATGTAAAGCTACTAAGTAACATTGTCGGCGCATACGCAGCAATTGGCATGTGAACAGTGTAATTCCGTGAACGACAAATTATCTGCGCAAGGGCAATGAAGCCGCTTTAACTATGTGCTTGTCGAGGTGTATCGTAACTTTTATGAAGTAATTTAGGTAATTTATGTGGAGTAGTTACCCGATATTTTTAAAGTATAATTTTAAAAAATATGTAATGCGCAGTTATGTGATGTGAGTAAAGAATACATCCTTAAAGGATGTGGTTTGAAAGAGGCTTTAGAGACAGTGCCAACTATACACATGGTGGAGGGTTTCGGCACACACGGGCGTAAAGCCTTAAGAGCACAGGTGCAGATAACGGCCTATTGCTTCCAGTGTTATAAAATACTCGGGTACATTTATAAACTCCACTCAATTTTGCACGGTTCGGAGGCCTAAAACACTCACGGGTCGAGTCGAGCGCGAGTGGTTGGAGCACGAACTCGAGTCTAAAAAGAACTATAAAACGTAAACTTACCTCGAGTTTTGTACAAAACTCAGGACAATAATCTCAGTACAATCTACTAAAAAAAACCGACCTCAAAAATCATTCATCCCCTACTTTGCCACCCTTAGAGGTGGAATATTTTCTTCAACTTTAAATGGGATCTCTTCTCAGGTTCCCTCTTTCCAACAAAAAAGAACCATCAAAATCGGTTCACAAGTTATCACGTAAGTTCATGCATACAAAAAAAAGAAACACAGTCGAATGGAGAACCTCCTCCTTGTTTTTAAGTCAGTTAAAAACAAAGGGATTGGAACCATCGACCTTTCAATTAAGAACCAACTCTCACTAAGCTACGACTACCCGTTTTAAACAAAAGAAGAAAAAAATCGAAAAAATAAAGATTTTTTTAATATGTAAAAGTACTAACAGCGCTGTACAATAATAACGAGGTATCCCATATCATAACTTCGAACAATTTCACAATTTCACATTGCAAACTGTACAATCGACAGAATGGATAATATGTATGTATGTTCATTTTCATCTAAGAAGAAACATACGCTTGCTACACTATCTACAAAATGACTCTCAATCGGATTTACAAACGTATAAATAGTTTCTTATGCTGACATTTATAAAACAAACTTGGCAAAAACGAAAAATGGCGATTAAAACTAAGTTTTTCTTATTTACAAAACGAAGCTTGCCTAAATTTGGGAAAGAAATTAAATTAATCTTTGAGTTTACTTTGTAATCTCAGCCTTGGTTTACACATTGTCTCTATATTACATGATAATACTTAAGCTTTTAGGAAATAAAGTATTCGTGTGAAAAAAATATAAAGTATATGATAAATTTGAAATAAATACTTAACTTTTTTATAAAACAAACCGACCTCAAGAGCTCGTGGAATTACATCTATTTGCTGAGTTTTATTGAAAACGGTTACCGGAATGTGTGCTTAACCAGACTCATCCCCTAGTTTGCCGCCCTTAGAGGTGGAATATTTTCTTCAAATTTAAATGGTACCTATGATGAGGTACCCTCTTTTCAACAAAAAAGTATCATCAAAATCGGACATACAAAAAAAGTGCAAACGAAATGAGAACCTCCTCCTGTTTGCAGTCGGTTAAAAAACAGATTAAAATAAAAATAAAGCACGTTCTACATTTCTACATAAACAATCTTCCTTACACATTTCCGAGCACATGTCCTGGAAAGGAAACATCACACTTAAGCGGGAAAGATGTGTTCGTTTCGTGGCTTTTGCCCTCTTATTGCATAGACATGAATTGCGTGAACCTTCTCCAATATAAAAAAAAAATTGTCGCGATGTTTCCTTTAGATAAAGACTAAAAGTGAAATCTTATCCAGTTTGCAAAATGTACGTAAAGAACTTTAAAAACTTAATGTTGCGTGCAGGTGTTTTATAAGGCATATACTGATAGCGACAAAAAGTTAAAGTGTTCAGGTACAAACCAGTTAACCGAGGCTTCGCAAGGATGCTCTGTAATTATAAGTTATAGAGAAATTCTTTAGGCGTTCGAGGTCCTATATTAAACTTATAATGCTGGTGAATGCTGTTTTATTCAGAACGCTTGTACTTGTAGATGTCGCAAAAAAAATGCAAAAGTAAGACCGGTGTCTTTAAATAAAACTAGCAGCACACCACAGCAGCCTTTATCGGTCCACTACTAATAGATTTTGGTTCTAAACTACGTACATTTGTGAATGTTTAAATAGCAATACCTCTCGCTATAGGTAAGGAAAAATACCGTAATCTTCCTATCGTATCGATGGCATACACTATACTTTTGTATACAGCCACGTCGACCGCGTCACTAGTAGCGGCCATTAAATCCTGAAGTGTGTAGGCAGGGCATGCAGGGCACGAAATGAGATGGACCATCATTTGAATCGCACCACACAAACATACCAGGTTAGAACCATCCGAAAATACCAACCAGGACAAATTGTCCTTACTCCGGCCAATTTGAATCCGAAACCTATTTAAAGATTTCCAAATCGGCCATGGCAATTCGTATCCAGGAGAAAGACTCTCAGAAGACGGGACAAACGTAAATGGTACTCTTTCGCGCCAAAGGTTGCACCTCGCCTGAGCCGGCTCAATGCTCAGAGGATCGACACATTTGACGAAATCTCTGTCTCTGTTGCACTGTGAAGTGATCGTGAATGGATGCCGAGAGTCGATAGCAGTTTTGATTATTTCGCAAGATGACGCTACATTTCTGCTGATGACCTTAACGAAGCAGTTAATAAAGCTCACATCCCTTGGTTGGTTGCGATCGCTCACCAAATCGTACTGGCAGAAAAGCAGCACTGTTTGACTTCTCACGGTCTACAGTATTTATGCAGGGTCAGGGCCATTTCAGTACAAAATGTTGTTTTTTCTCACAGTAGGTATGTGTTTATATCAAAGGTGTACTAATTTATGTTCTACATGCTTTTATGTTATACTTTGTCAAGTGATTGTAAAAAATGTATGTTACTATTTGTATTTGTACTGAACAAACGTTTTATCTATCTATCAAAAACGTGTGAAGTTCCCCACTCGCATTGAGCTAATGCAGCATGGCGGTCTATGGCCTGAACTTCTTGGCCCTCCTTAAAGAAGACCTGTACCCAGCAGTGAGACCTGTAAATGATGATGGTAATGAGACAAAGAAAATACAATACCAAAGGACAATATGATCATCGCTAATATAGGGTTTTCCACTAAGGGCGGGTAGATTGTTGACAGTTCATAGCGGCCATGTTATTGAGCCTATTTTTTTATAAAGTCAAGTGACGGGACGAAGAAGTACGTAACTAACAACGAACGAAGAATAAGAATGCTTTTGTCAAAACAGTTGTTTCTTTTTCAATCACTAAAGACAAATCATCATGACAAGTTACAGCGTCGAGCAACATGTGCAAATAATAAAGAAATATTATCAAAGTGGTTGTTCTTTGTGGCAACGATTTGACAAAAGTAGCCTCAACAATATGGCCGCTATGAACTGTCAAAATTTACCCGCCCTTGAAGGAAAACCCTATATAAACAAAATAATGTAATGAATAAGTAGTATCATAAAGAAAATAGTGTCTAAATAGGGTAACGGTGCCAATGATCGACATTTTAAGGGAAGTGACTCTTTAAATTTGGAATAACTTTTTAATTTTCAAACTAATATCATTAGTGATTAGTTTACGTGTAATCCTCAAAAAAGATTATGCTATAGTATGTTTCATAAAAAAGCTATTATAATAATTATTAAACAACCTAAGTAACCTAAATCTCTAGTAATTAACACCAAAAATCCACTAATTAGCTAACCAGTAGTCGATACTCACCAATAATGAACACCCGGTAGCAGTTGACACCAATAAGAAACGTGTTAACAGAATTTTGCCCTAAATCTTGTTAGAAATGAATTTTTAAAAAGATGTCGAACATCGTCCTTGTCGGTCACTGGCGCCAGCACTTAGGACGGTATCCAATAACAAAATTAAATTTCAATTTCTTTGAAGTAAATACCTCTATGCGATGAAGAATTCATATATAACAATATGTGAATAACATATACAATGAAACTATTTTTCGGATCTATAATTCGTGTATATTTGTTTTTTTTTTCAAACAAACTAACAAGCCCTTTCAAGTCCCATGGTCAAGGCTAACTAAAATGGCTGACCAACTACTTCATTTACATCCTAAAAATAGTTTCATTTCCTACGTGTAACAATCACGAAAACCTCATTATTCACAGTTAGTTATGTTTGTTACGGTGTGTAACTATTTGTTTCGTCAATTTATTATCGTGTCCTTTGTGACAAATTATTAAAAGTTTTCAAAGTAAGTTAACACATACAGCCGTAACACGTAATCGGAACCCAGTGTGACATTATCTTGGACTAGAAAGGGTTTTTCGACTAACTACCATCGACGCTTTGTTGCATTTTACTAAGCTGCTGCAAATAAACCTTCTTGCTACAATAAAATTAC